GGTTCCAGACCGCTAGCCACGATTGGTGGAAATAACCCTGTTTTTTCGGAGAATCCACTGACATTTACCATTGTGTTTTGAGACTGTTTGAATGTGGCTTTCGGAGAAGTAGATCCTTTCGCGAACGGCTCAACTCTTTACAACAGGATAGCAGAATTAGGCGGACTCGCTAGCCATCCGACGGAATTTACTGACTTGCGCCAATTACGGAGTTCCTGTAGAAGTTAGAGGAGCTCTGGAAGCAACACACAGAATATTGATTTCTGGTTTTAAATCTATTCATGTGTCCGAGAAATCTGTTAGATTCTTTTTGATTCATTTCGGAGACAGCTTTGGAAGATAGGCTCCCGTTTAGAAACATTTTTCCATTACACCTTGATGAACCGAACACTCATGGGACAAAAGAGCTATTTTTCTGGCTCCATACTGAGTTCTGATAAACCAAAAGACTAGCCTGTTCACTGTTGCTATTAGAGGAGAGACTATTTGGTTGAGTGGTTCGAAGAAGCTCAGATATGTTCGAAGAATTTCTATACGGATATTCCAGAGACTGGCTTGCCTCCACGGTATGTGTCCCTCCACGGAAACTAGTTATCAATGGAGAGTCGCGCAACTCGTTTGTTTCTTTCAAAAATTGGTGTGTCCCCGGGTAAACCAACGAAAAAAAACAACCTGTAGGAGATCTTTTAGCACCTATTTTTGTAGTAAGAATCCTCCGTAAGTAGATAAACACACGGCAGGGTATTTTTATAGAGGAAACTACTCACAATATTGCGGAAAACTCTCCGACAGCCCACGACCGGTTTTTTCGCCCTTCTTGGGGCTCATCAGTTAGGCGCAGTCCCCGAGTTTCTGTCAACCTTATGATCTACTTGAACCCAAATTGCATTGTTTTAGAGAAATACACTCATTTGCGAATCAATTTGGTTTTCACGAGAGACTCAACTGAATATCATAAACGAGAGGTTCAGTTGAGTCTTCCGTGAAAACCAAATTGATTGCAAATGAGTGTATTTCTCGAACACAGCAGGGTACTTTAAGTCGGCCTTTTGAAATGCTTTCTAATGAAGAGTCAGTTGTACGATGTCGATCTTTGAAAGAAATAGCTTTTTTCATCAAGTGGACTTTCCATAACAAAAGGGTATGCCATCCGGAGAGACCGCTTTCAAAGACTCACCAAAGATGGTTTCAGTAAATACTTAGTCTGTTTTAGTAAGCACGTAAACGCACCAAAGTGTTGCGTTCATCTGAAGTGTCGTCTTTGCAGACGAGAACGTAGATCAGCTCGACTTACACCTGGTCAGCAGCCAGTTAGCCCACCTAAGCAACCATTTTATTGTTTCGATAGAAATCACGGTGATTATCAGAGGGAAGAGTATTCATCACATGGATTCCACTTAATGTTACCCACCTCCCCAAATTGTCACAGCATTCGCATGCCCAAGAATATTAAGAAAAATCTACCAGTGGCACCCGAGGTGAATCATTAAGTGAAGCACCCTGAACTGCAAGATTAAGGAACATAAAGCGATCGAAACTAATTTGAAACCCCTCCAACCCACCAATTCAAGATTTTGGCAACCACACTAGCCGACAAGAGCCGTTAATTGACACTCAACATTAATCTAATGTGATAATCTGAAGAGGACTTACTGATTGGTTCCCCGTCTGTCTTAGAACCTGGCCAAGTTGGTGACCTGCTCACTTGGTCTGATGAAGCTTTTGTGTCAAAAGTGAAACGTTGCCCAAATAAAAACTACCGATTGTTTACCAAGCTCTTTTGAAAAGAAGCGATTTTGTTTTTGGGCCTTGAATCAGACACCTGGTTCCGATCACGATACACGAATATGGCATCCTAGTCCATGTGGTTAAGAAGACTTCTCGAGCAGTCATTGTGAGGATTTTGGTTAGCAACTTGAAAGTTATCACTTTCAAAGCGAACATTTCCTTGAAATGTATCGCGATATCGTACCAGCTACAACATGGGGTGAAGCACAGTCAGCTAAGGAAGAGCATTTCACACAAGGGGTTCTGCTAGATTCGGTCAAAACCAAATTCGTATACGAATGAGAGCATTTAGCGATTTCACTATCCAACCCATAAAAAAAGGGTGAACAGTTAGGACAACTGCGGATCTAAAACAAATCTCCATGGAAGGATGTGGAACTTGGGGGAAGAGTTGCACGTGCCGTGCACTTTATGAATGGTTTCAACTGCAATGCACACTCTCTGAGTGTTGAGCACTTCCTCACGCAACTTTGATGACAAAGCACTTGTTCACACAAAGTATCGCGTGACCTCTCGTCCAGGCCCTATGTCACGTGATGAAACGACCCTGGTTTTTCTCAGCCTCGTTTTTCGGTACCAGTCTGATTATCGTAGAGAGAAATAGGTAATATAACCTTGATTTACCTTGATTTATTTCCATGAGGATGCTAGTCACTGGGCCCGTAGATCTGAGGCCAGAGTTTCCGGCCGAACTTCACGGGAGAACAAGTGCATGCTCGCATTCTGTGAATATAAGTGTGACCGGTCAATTTAGGTGAGACCAATTGAGTGGCGTCCATACAAAAAGGTGGCCATGAGCTATCACATGTAGATCTACTTAAACGTTGGAAAAAGTCCTGAAATCTGTGAAAATATAGAGAATTTTTTCATAAAGGAAACTCTCACAAGCTAGCTGAAAACTCTTCGACAGACCACGACCGGTTTCGCCCTTCTTGGGGCTCGTCAGGTAAGCACAGTCCCCAAGTTTCCGTCAACCTTTTGTTCTACTTGAAAACAAATTGCACGAAATTAGCGAAATACACTCATTTGCAAATCGGCAAGCTTGTGAATAGTTTTCTTTTATGAAAATATGCTGCGATATCTCGAATATCGTGCCAACTGAATCACGATGCGGCTTGTGTGCAGCACATTCAGCTGTAGAATATCATAAACGAGAGATTCGGTTCAGTCTCTCATGAAAACCAAATTGATTTGCAAATGAGTGCATTTATCGAAGAGAGAAAAATCGTTCAACAAAGATGAACTTGTCCCAAAATGCAACGACGATCTTTCGTGTTCCTCACAAAAACGCCGGGTTGGTGTTTTAAAGCCACTTCCTTGAGGTAGTCGGTAAGACTACCAGAACTGCTAACATTGTTTTTCGGTCTCCAGAACACCTTGATCGTAATCTTGCTTCATACCCTCCTTAAAAGTACATTCTCAAATGAATATCATCTCATGTCTGAAACTCACAAAATTTCATTCGTTTGCTCATTGTCGCTAATCACGGTGGAAATTCCAAAGTGGCAACAATTCTGAGTTATGGAAGTGGGAAAAGATCACTAGCACCAAAGAAAATAGTTTTTCGTTTGGAACGAACCATCTGCCACCCATAATCAGCAACGCAGCTGATTTGTACAAAGGGATATGTACGAAGGGATTGTCTCGTCAATAAACCACGCACACGGAATCATCCAGGCCCATTTGTTCTGGTCACAGAATGCTGGATATTCATATGTTCTCAGCTTAGAGAAGCAATGGTGAAGGGCACATGAAACCGCGATGCATGAATCCATACACTGAGAGCATCATTAGTAACGGTTGTTGCCACCACTGGACACGGGGGGTCAGACACATTAAGCACCCGTGATATCGGTATTTGCCACAACGGCGACCTCACTTACCGGTTCCTGCAAACAAAAGACACCTGATCGATTCCATCTTTTTCTGGTTGTCCTAACTATCCGGCATCGTCCTCATCATCACTGACAGCACCAGCAATAGATTATTGGTGTTTAACTACCGTAAAGATGGAGGCGTCAGGGTTTGTACGTTTTTGAATCGACTGACCTCGCCACTTGACGACCAATGTAACATGTAGCGCTCATGCCCTAAACAGTCAGAAGGATGTATATGCACATGTACAGTCTAATACATAATCCGGTGAAGTAATGAAACTGAGTAGGGTAGAAATACTCCATGCGAATGGTCGCATTTGGCAATCGTTGCAAAGAATATGGACGTGCGCCAGGACTAGGGATATCACACGATATTCAGGCTTTCCAACACAGTTGTGGAGTACCTTTCGCTGCATATGATCACTTTACTTTGAGGGAAAGATGGCGGGATGGGCTACTTTCTCAGATGCTGAAACATTTCTATTACATCAAATTTGCTGGCCGGAAGGTCGCGGGTTCGAAACTCTGTGGGTTAAGCCAGATACACTCTAGTGAAGATTCCAAATAAGAATGGAAAACCTATACAGCGCTACTTGGCTTCCAGACGTAGAATAGCTTCACTATTTGTCCGGAGGCCAGCCGTCCCTAATAACCGAACACCACATCATTTGGGTGGGGTTGCCACGTGCGGGACACGGGCCAAACGAAGGCGTGCCCTGATTGGTCAGAATGCCAGCCAATCCGAGTCAAGCATCTTTGACTCGACGCTTCTCGCCCCCTCATGGTGATTCTAGTATGACTTTGTGGAACACTCTGTGATTACCCTATAAATACAGATGTAATGATTCTACTTTTGTCTCCTTATGGGGCTGTCTAGAACTACCGTGCCTTTTGATATAGCATAGTGGGCGGAGCAGGAAGCCAAGGGATCGATACAGAGTTGCACGATCGTCCACCATGTTACAACACACTGACAGGACAAATTTCTGATTATTTGCACCATATTAGAACAATGAGACCTAGAGGGTGCATTCGGCTCTGTGGAATTGTGCGTGAGATCGTAGTGGTGGAAGAACTGGCCTGGTTGATCAAACGGATATCGAAATGCAGCCCGTTGGGGTTGTGAGGGGAGTGGTGAGGGATCTACAACCTAACTACGTACAAAAAATGGAGAGAACCAGATAGACTAGTGACACTCTTCTTTGAGGACTGGAACATCAGGAAATGAATAGCAGATTTCTCGGAAGAGCACTCCGTGTTCACAGAACAACCGAGTTCAATTCATCGTCTTAAATGCTACCATCTACATACGGTGCTTTTTCTTGTATTATGCAGTATGACGAGAGTTCGAACATGTGTCGGGGGCCTCCCACTAAATCGAACGCCCTCTCCCGTGAGTCTTCTCTACAAGACCGGTGGTGTCGTTGTAACAATGGTGATCTACCTGTGAACACGACGGACAAGCAGTTTGCACGCACTCTCATCGATAGCTTCTACTGGTCAAATTCCATTCTTGGAACAAATTTCAAGAGTTCCCAAGTTTCACTGATGGTTGGGCAGTAAACTGCATTGTAGCAATCTTCAGGAGGTTCCTAGGTGAACTAGCTGGAATCTATGACAGAAAGCTTATCGTGTGATCTTGTCACTCCCCGTTGTCATCTTTTTCTGCATTTTGACATCGATTTCTTGTAAACACTGAGTTTTGTTTTCTGTTGGTACGAAGTAATTGTCGGAAGTGAGGATGTTGTGTGACGTTCAAGTTTATTGCACTTTTTGCACGTTCAAAGACAATTAAGGTGGGGACTGGCAGTCAGGTTAAAGACGCCAATGTTAGGCTCGAACCCGGGTCGTTGATCTTAGCTGTTCCATCAAGGACGAAGTACGGAGAACCATTCATTGGACAGTGTATTTGGTAGTAACGCCTCATGTGGGCAAAATACCAGTACATGTTGGACAAGGTGTGGAACAACCGACTGATGTCAGTAAAGGTGAATCTGCACGCAAATAAACTATTTACACACAAGAGGAGTGTGTTTAGCCACAGTAATCCACATTCGTTTTCTCACGAAACTCGTGAAAAGAATTTTTTCATGAGGGTTTCTTCTAACGGTTAAAACCAACCAATTTGTTTTCAAGTAGAACATAAGGTTGACGGAAACTCGGGGACTACGCCTACCTGATGAGCCCCAAGAAGGGCTAAACCGGTCGTCGGCTGTCGACGAGTTTACAGCAACTTTATGAGTAGCGCATTACGAATAAAACCAACTTAGTTTGCACTGAAACGCAATCCGCGGATTTCCTACAATTTGAACATAATGTCTACGGAAGGTTTATGGACCACATCTATCTGATGAGTCTCAAGAAGGGCGAAACCGGTCGTGGGCTTACGAAGAGCTTTCAGCAACCTTGTGAGTAGTTTCCTTCAGGAAAATATACTGGATATCTGAAATTTCGTACAAACTGAAAAATGAAGCGTTGAAGAATGTCTTAAACCAGAGATTCGATTGGGAATCAGTGGGCTCTCCCACCGAAACCGCATTCATGTGCAAATGAGTGTAATTGGCGAATTTCATGCAGTCTTTTTGTTCGAGTAGAACATAAAGTTGATTGAAACCCCGAAGGGTGTGCATAAATCATGAGTCGTAAGAAACCGTTTATGAGATGTCACAGTGTATTCTATCCAGAAACCCTCATTTATTTCTACGTGAATCTCACGGCAAGAAATTTAGCGTAGGGTTTCCTTCTGGAAAGTGGTTTGATCTGCGAAATGGACCTTAAAAATTCATCGACGGACATGGTACTCGTCAGTAGTTCTTCACTAATCGATGGAGTATACATCGATTCGTGCGTATTTACCCGCGGCTAGTTGCAATTCATCATTCGTTGTAATCTGTTGGAATCTAGCATACTGTTCCCGTGTCAGGTGAAGAACGGCGATCATAACCTGCGACCGGCAAACATGTGTGACCTTGCCGCGTCCAGTGCCCGAACAATGTCATTATGGCAGAGCATATGGTGGTACAAAACCAGTCAGCAAACGAAACTGTGTCTGCCTGGGCGCTAATGTAACAGGAATTAACCCTCAATTTTGGACTCCAGTTTTTGGAGCAGCGCCAAGAAGGGAATTTTGATGGCCTGTCCCGAAAATATGCGTTTGAAAGCATTAGGGTTGTTTCAACTGGTGACCTAGATTGACGTCAATCGATGGAAATTTGAAATTTGTCGGACTACTTTGAAAACCAATACTAGCAGGTTTCTCGCGGTATCCGACTTGTGAACATTCGAATAATCAAGCGATATGTGATTTCACATCTCATCTGAACAAAAAACTATGTCGTGTGGGTAAATGCTTCACAGGAAAGCTAGTATCAATCCACTCCACTGCTCTGAAAATAGAGTTTCAAGGTAAATGCTTCACAGGAAAGCTAGTATCAATCCACTCCACTGCTCTGAAAATGTCACAGAGTTTCAAGAAACCTGAAAAATGACCAAATTTCAGAATGACTGTAGTTTTTTCCGTCCAGTTTCGACGAGCATAATGAGAGTAAGATGGCTAGTAGCTTAATTTCTCGCTTGATTGGTTTTGTTTCCAAAGAGTATCGCTTTGAACAGCAAGCAATAATTCCACATTATCTCAAGGCAGCTCAAAGTTGTCTGTGGAAGATTCCCCCAGGTCATTACTAGCGGTTTAGCTCTGGTAATGACACTATTTTTTGGCCTCGTCGTCGCAAACAAAGATTGCGACGTATTTCGGAAGACGAGCCCGACTGTCTCAAAATTTTGTAGATGAACAAAAGTCAGTTGTGTTAAAAGTTGAGTGGCTGCAATTTGGCGTGCGCGCACTGCATACATACACCCTCTTTTTACTGCTTGTTTTTTTTTCACACCAGTTGGCGCCATCCTCTTAAGTTTGATGACCGCTATTGGTCGCCTGTCGCAACTAAGCCGGTCGAGTGCTTCAAACTGATTCGGACAATATTAGTCGGTCTGGTTTAAGCATTCAGGAGACAAGCATAAAGTTGCACGCACAAAAAAGGGACAAAATACTTCTCAGGTGTTGGTGGTTGCCGGGTTTTTGGAACGCATACTCTCATGACTCTCGTTTGAACAGTCTTACTCCTACCCTCGCGTAATTATTCTGGTGAGTTCACACCAAAGTCCACCAAAGTACTAGATGTAATTATTCTGGTGAGTCCACACCAAAGTCCACCAAAGTACCGGACTCGAGTTTCGCTCTTATTAGAGTTCATCAGCAGTGCATATCCAATCGCAGTGCCGGGGTTTGAACCCCGGACATCTGACATGCGAGGCTCCACCAGCGCCCGCTGGACTCATCCCTAATTTTTACTACGTCTGACCAGGTGAACATGTCCGCGCTTGAGTGATCTGAGGGAAAAACCCGACGCTTCGAACGGACTAGCAAAATACTTTGGTTGTTGGTTGGTTGTCCCGACTGGCCCGCCAATCAGGATTTCCCAGTCAGGTAGTGCCACGGACACTTGAAACTTGGTGGACACATTTTTCTATCACTTTTCCGTCGGGAACAAGGTTGCTTATCTGTGGAGTGAAGTCCTATCTTCTCCTACCTCTTCCATCAAAACAACCAAGAAATCATCTTCTGTAGAACGGCACCTTGAAGATATTAGGGCGAATTGATAAGTATACTTGTCACGGAACACACCCACTTTCATGCTGATTCGGTCTTAACCGGAGACCTTACTGAATCTCTCTTTTAAAGATATTCCTCAGCTGAGAATGCGGTGCAAAGGCCATCTCATGTCTCGGTTGGTACGATATTCGGGATAATGCAGTGCATTTTTGACGGAACACAGATAATTGTCAGTCGGTTTCATGCTGATAGGAGCACAAAACAGTGTTCCCGTCAGACGATTCAAATTGCGTTCCTTCAGTCGACAGGGCGAGATGGCTCAGTGGTTAAAGAGCGAATTTTTCTACCGCAAGGACTGCGGTTCGAACCCAATCTTCGCATCTCGACTTCTTCTGTCTAGGCTTGGGCAGCCTGGCATTATCCCAGCCCACGTGCTTCTTTCGGGTATCATGGCATCTGTGCACCAAAAGAGTGTTACAGCTGAACGACTTTTTCAGTCGACATCCTTCGTCGCTGTCGTATGGAATCAGCGTATGATGAAAGATGCATTCCCACCACGAGGGGAGAATTAGATAGCACCGGTCAAGAGTACGGTCTCCGTCACCACTGACTGTATGAGACCGTGAGACAGTTTCACACAGTGCGGGTCTTCACAAATGTTTCATTTGAGGTCTGAACAATGATCATTCGCAAGAGCGAATACTAGCAGTCCAATTCAACCATCACTCTCAAGTTTGTGGCTCCGTATTTTTGACAGGTCATCTAAGCTCCTCTGCAGGGTCTGATCGGTCACCAACTAAAAGTGGACGATGCTCTGAATGGGTTCAACAGCTTACGAACATCAGGATGACACTTATCCGAAAAGTCTGAGCTATCCAAGTTGGACAGTGTGTGGAATCGTTTTAAACGTGTAGAAAACAGTGCATGTTGACTGAACTGAGAAATTCCCTCGTCAGGTACTCAATAGGCCAACCACAACTCAGATTACCACTTAGATAGTTTGCTCCATAACCGAAGGTATTCATGCAGCTTTTTAAGCATGTTCTACTCAGAGGTCATCGCTAAAACCTTAGCTGCTTCTAGCTTTCGTCCATATTTTCCATCCTGGTTGAATGTGTGGCAACCGTAAAGTTTGGTCAAACCAACTTTGTAACCAAGTTTAGTCGGGGGACGCTCCGTTGGAATATAAAAAAACAGATGTAATTTATAAACAGCGTAGGCTTTTTTACACACCCACACACACACACTCAGCAGTTCCATTGCACTAAAAGGATAGCAATGCAGACGATGACTCGGATGGTAATGTGGCGACGGTTGTCTGGATTACGTGCACGTGACATCCTGAATCAGCACTTTGATAAGCGGAACAACCATAATGAGTGGTCACACATAGTGTTTACAGCCATCGCCTTCCAACACCTCCCCCCTTTGAGAAAAGCTTTATTAAAGTTGACAACCAAACTTTTAAGCGTGATGTACAGTCGGTTGTTACGTCACAGTCAATTCGTTCACGTTCATATGACGTGAACTGAATTTTCGTTGAACACGCGAATCGATGATATAGTCGGAGTGCTGTTGTACGGTTTTTGTGACGTGATTAAAGGAAACTGGTTATATGGTGTAATCAAGGATGGCTGGTTAAAATGCCTAAAACCCGAAAAAAAACGGAATATTGTTGGAAGTAGAGAATGGCACTTGAACAATGTCTGATGGAATCGCCCAATAGGATAAAGGAATTATCACGTGATAGAAGAAGGCCATTCGAGTTTGAATGATATTTCTGGCCTACTTAGGCGTGCACAAAATAAAATGAGGCAATAAAAAAACAGATCACCGTTACTCTGGTTTAAATCGAAGAACATTAAGACTAACGAATCAGATGAGGTGGGAAAGTGAAGCAATGATTCAGGCGATCTGACAAAATGACGAATGAAAACGAAAATGTACCAGGCAGAAATGGCCGGCGGAAAAATCAAATCAAGGGCATAAAAATACTAAAAACAGGTGTTTTCACTAACCAATAAAATGACAGGAGGATTGGTGGGGACGCACCATACGAGAAGGGTGAAGCGGATCAATTGGAAATGTAGGTATCCAACGAACCAACCAGATACGACATGATCAGACCGTGATGTGATCCAAATCCCCAAAAGGACCAATCAAACTGCGTGTTAGCCAATCTAAGGACCCAGGCTGAACTTGTTTACTACTCTTTAAGGACGCAATCATTAGTGGAAGAAGTGCCCACCCAACAGCGTAGCGGTGACATCCCCCAGGATGCTGACGAAAGTTTGCAAGCCAACTGCCAAGCGCATGCGCTAGGAGCGCCTTAACCAACTAATCAAGGATATGAAATAGCTACACAAGTTGGAACACTGAGTAGTCAACCCATTTTATCCAGGAATACACAGGTTACGAGATATTGACATTCTGTGCATAAAGCTGGCAGTGTAGGGTATAACAGTTTGGGATCTTACCAAATGCTGGAGAATGATACAAGTAGTCCGTTTTCCTTACATGACACACAATCGATTACTCTGGATGTGATAGTGGCCGCCGATAATGCTGTTTTCAGAGTATAACCACCCTTTCTGGGGACATCAAACTGTCCCACCAGCATCCCGTACTTATGTTTTATTAATGTTGCAATGCTTGAGTTCACCACCACGGATCTACTCAAGAGAACCGACTGATTGTCCTTCAGTCTAAAGTCACAGTTAAATGGGTGTAATTTCCACGATGTCAGAGTCTTAAGCAGTCAGTTGACTTGCTTCCTGGTGTTTGATCCCGGGGCTCACCCGTAATGTTCCTAAGGTAAAATATTTTACAAATTTTAGAAGCGGATTCACCCATCGGGGGAGGGTGGTTGGGGATGCGTACTGTACAGTTGCTTCTGTGATGTAACGAAACGGAACTGTCTGTGATTTCCACTGGTGGAGAAGTTGGATAATCTGAAAATGGATGACTACGTCAAGGTGTTTCCCCCCTTTAGTATGGACTCAGCAGATTAGTCACGCCAGGACATGAGGACAACTGTTCAAACGAGCGTGATGTGAGTATGAACAATACATATACCGCGAGTCCCCATACTAGTTGCTACATCCGTCCTGATAATTTATAAATATGTTATTCCCTAACTAAAGGAATAACACATTTTTTCTTCCAAAAGATGGACATGATCCTATGCACAGAAACTACACAAATTAATCTTGACCGACCCAGACAGGCGTAGATTATCCAATTTGATTAATGATAACAGAACAAGACTGCCCCAGTCACAGAAAGACAAACACACACAGACAAACGGGGACCAAGGAATTTAGCCAAGTGTATTTTACAGGATTTAACAACCATTATAGCGTGCCAGGAACCAACCGAAAGCGTCCGGACCAGACACAGGGGAATAAAAGTGCCCGACTTTGATGTTTACGAGATTTCGGTTTTGAAACTAAAAGTTCGTAACGGGCAAATCCGCAAAACAACTGTGGTGGTTTGGTATCATTAGACAAAACAGGAGAAGGTCTGATAGATGATGAGTTGTTATTCATGGGTAACGACGGGTGTCCAGAAAAACTGCAAACGAAGGACAGAACGGCATGCCTACTAGTTAGACCTATGAACCTGGATTCATATGATTCTAGATGGAAATCTCGTTTTGCCGAGTGGAAGCTATCGACTGCCCTCATCGATTATTCCGAATTCGAATCTTCCTCTCATCATCAGCATGTCTAAAGGTCTGGGTCGAATTTCCTCATTCTTAGCGAAATACACTCACTTGCACACCAATTTGGTTTTGACGAGAGGCTCCCCTGGATATCTCAGTTGCTTAAGAACATTATAAACGAAAGATTCAGCTGGGTTCCAGGTGAATCTCTCGTTGAAACCTAATTGATATGCAAGTCAGTGTATTTCGCTAACATCATACAATCTGGGTTCAAGTGGAACATAAGGCTGACGGAAACTCGGGGACTGTGCCTACCTGCTGGGGCCGAAGCAGAAGGGCGAAAGCGGTTTCCTTATTGCCTTCTTACTACCGTGAACCCCGGTCTGGATAGCCGATTGGTAGCCTGGTGCGCTTGGTTAGACCAGAAAAGTTATAGCCGATTGATAGCCTGGTGCACTTGGTTAGACCAGAAAAACGTGCGAACCGACTGATCTATTGATCACTGTCGCGTACAAGCGATTAAAAAAGCTGATACTAAGAGTACAACTCATCTGTCAAGGACGAGTGAAGAACAACCAATGAAATCTGTCTCAACGAAAACGTTTATTCCATTGGCTGTTATGTAGCCCCGTTACGTTCGGAGCTGGTTCTCCTAATTTCACACAATCTGGGTTCAAGTAGAACATAAGGCTGACGAAAACTCGGGGACTGCGCCTACCTGATGGGGCCGAAGCAGAAGGGCTATCGACGGATTTTCAGCAACATTATGAGCAGTGTTTTATGTTCATCTTACTCTGTATTTACTCATTTTCCAGTCACTGTGGCACACGTTGCGTTCACTGCTGGTGGCTACACAAGATATACCAATCTTTCGAACAGTATTGACCCTTTTGAATCAGACCAAATCAACATTCAAGGGACATTATGCGTATCCGAATCCAGAAAAAAAGCTTGAGGGCATGGAAATCAGCCTAAAATATTGTGCTCCAGAAATTCTCCAAAACCCGGTTGCCTACTTATTTAAAAACGTAAATGGTTTCGCACTTTTCGCACACACTCATTCAATCGCTACAAAACCGATTGTACGAGTCTGAGGAGATACCACCAGGGACGAGTTTGTTTGCTGTAAAAGATAGCGTGTAATGTTTGGAGGCGTTGAACACGGTAAACAGCTGCCAGAGTTTCCACAAATACCCCCGTGTTTGGCCACTAAAGATCGTTTGTTATGATAGTTGATAACCATGACGTTTCCGCGGTCCATTACGTGACTGTTTACCCCAAATTCTGAGTAGAACAAACGAAATGAACGGAAAAGTTTGTTATCGTCGGTTCGGCTGATTTGGGGATTGTGTACGCCAGTCGTTTGCATTCCAGTCGTTGTCCCGCCCTCCAGAAAACCCGACTAAAGTACGGTGTCTGTGGTGTTACGCGTCAGACACCACCTGAAAGCTTTCCGGCCAAAAACAGACGTGAATCGGTGTGCAAGGTCATACGGAAAAACAACCTTGCGTTGTTTACGCAGAAGACAGATTGAACCAGCCATGGTGGCCTGTCGACCCAGTTTGAAATTCCTCTGTCTACCCTGAACAGATTTTTCACCCCCCCTCCACAGGTTTGACAAACTTTGGAGCTCAATTGCCAGGCAATTCCAGTACACTGATTTGTTTCGCGGACACGAGACTGTATGCGGGCGACCTGAAGTGACCGATACAGAGAGAATAAACAACGAAACTGTTATATTTATATTGTATGCGGTTGATATAGCTAGGGCTGTATCGAAAAGTCGCGTTCATAAGAACAATAGAGAAATCAACCCGATATTGGTTTCGACTAGTTGAGGTGTCAGCAACCAGTTAACAGACGGACGTTGGTCGTGACGCTTATGCGTCGGAAATGAAGCCACCTAACCTGTGAGGTCACCCTGCGTAAAGGCGACCCTGTACAAAGACCATTTTTCAATAATTAAAGCTTCTGTTAAAGACCCTTTGGCTAGGGGCACTCCTGTAGGCGAAGATGGCAACCACAGCCCTACGAAAGGCATCAGGTTCAGAGCAGAATGTATCATCTGAACTGTCACCAACAAAACCCCGTAATCTCATTTATTCTTTCATGCGTATTAACCACTTCGCCACATTTTCGTAACCGAGTTTTCAGTCAGTCTGTGCCGAGAAGCACGGTACAGCCGTGCCATCTTTATTAAGAATCATCGAACGCACGCATCTCATCACAATCTTGGAAGGTTCGAACCCGCAACCTCCAGGCTAGCAGCTGAAGTCTAAACCGTTCGGCCAAGAACGGCTGATCAGCAGCGTGATGAACTCCGTTTTAGACAGGATATAACGGTACTTATCCTTCGGTCACGTGCCCACTGGCTCCTACAGCGAGGAACTCTCAGCTGAATTGCTTAGAATTTATTGATAGTTTGAGATTCGTTGGAAGCGAAAGAGATCCAAGTTAATCATGGCGTTCGTGACCGAACCACTTAGTTTTTATCTACTAGCCAGGAGTTCAAATCCCTCTGGAGGTTCGCGAGATGATTTCCAAAGAGGATGCAACAACCGCATCGACATAGTATGATGAATCCACTTGCAGGATGAATGGTCAAATTCCAAGATTTCTTCATATTCCAGAGCACCTGTCATGTGAAGGTATAAAACCTACATGTTGTGAAACACATCTTCAGGATAGAAATAAGATCATCATGTCGTCAGTACGAAATGCCGTCAACTGCACACGCGCATGCCTAAGTGAGACTACAAATCATAATCCCACGTTCAATATAGATGGAAGATATTGTCACAGACGTCTTATATCGATTAACCTGGAACATTCAGGCTTATCTTTAGACGTTAAAATTTACCATGACAATGAGTTATTTCATGTACCCCCCACCTACGGGGAAGTACATACATACAAACACCGATTTGCGTCATCATCGGCATCTGTTTTTTAGACGGTGAGATTGGAAACTGTACGCATGCAAACATAACTACGCCAAGTTTGATTGCATAAAATCAAAGGGAAGGGATTTTGAGGATGGGTGCTGAGGAGTAACAGGGAAAGCGCACTTGCAGTTAGGACGATGCATCTGAACAGAGTTCTAGGCGCCTTAGAAATTCATCGAGTGACCGGCGGTTTTCTCAATGAGACTTACCAACATTGATGCCATTAACATGAGTTTTGTGATGAGATCCATCATTCTTGATGGGAGTGGTCGAAACTCACGGGAGCCTCTATTAAAGGATGCATCAGTAAGAATTCAAAAAGTTCAGAGGTGAAGACTTGTTCCCAAGAAGAATCAGGTCTGGGCACACCTTACACAGGTTCACATCCCATCACGACCGTTTTAGATTCTTGGTGAGAAAACGTATCCCAGCAGTGAAACAGCTTGTGAACAACTTCCGTGGAACTATGAACGCCTTAAATCTGATCAGCAACTTCATCAACACCCTCGCTCGGAATCTGCCACCGCGGTTCCCTCTCTGCCTTACAACTGGAAAAAAGCCCTAGGGCTGGGTTATCATCAGGTTGCCCAAGTCTGAACAGGAGAAACCCAGGGAGTTGGGTTCGAACCACAAACCAGTAGCTCCCAGCCCCAACTACTGAACTATCTCAGACTCGAAAACCTTGCTCAAGGCAAAGTCGCAAAAAACGAGCATAGACTTAGTGTTGTGGGGAAACTTTTAGTAAAAGGTGAAACCCTTGCTTGCGCATGAGGAGACACCAGAGATTCATTACGGTAAGTACTGTACAAACTCTCTGTACACAGATGAGATGAAGCAATGCAACCGGGACGGCCCGTATAGCTAGTATAAACGTACACGGAAAATCTTCCCTATTTGGTTACCCATCAAGCCCGATTCATCGCAGTTCTATGTTAGCACTAGAACCATTGAGGAGAAGGGTGCCTGTTCACTGTTCAGTTCCATTCGAGATATGACAAACACTAATTCACTTTGGTTGAGAACTCTGCTGCGGACAATCGAATATGAAATGGACAACAACAATAATAATCGTTCAGCTGCGACATCCTCTCGGTGCCTAGACGCCATGCAAGTCGAAGGAAACAGGAGAGCTGAGATACTTTCAGTTTGTCCAAGCCTAGATAGGAACAGCCGAGGTGCAGATAGATTACAAAAAATCCCAATCTCGCAAGCAAGACCCCCTCAACTGGCCAGTTTGCTCATTAAAAACGAATTCCGCGATTTCTTGAGTGTGATCTTACCCCTGAAGCTGGCTTACCTATCAATGACATGTGAGCTAAACTAGGCGCCCATTGGTATGCTTTCAGTCTTGGAATGATCTTACCCCTGAAGCTGGCTTACCTATGAATGACATGTGAGCTAAACTAGGTATGCTTCCAGTCGTGGAGCATTGCTACTACTGAATTACACCTGAGTAGCATTGTGGGCCGCTTGCCCATGTAGGACAGCTGTATGTCAGTATGACGGTGTATACTACTCATGAACCTCCGTTTGCAGTCCAAAGTATCATCCTCGAAGATAATTGACACATGAATTGGAAACCAGTGATCTCTTCGAGTGTGTTGGTTCATTTGTGCCAAATGTCCTAACCAAGTCCAGGAATACGTCTCAGCACACTGAGTTCTCCAACTGAATGCAAGCGAGTTTTTGCTTTCGTGTCGCATTGCTTAAAGCTGTCCTGTTTGTGTTTCACAACAACGTCCTACCTACCAATGGCGTGGGCTGTTGACAGTGCTGGTGCACGGATCTTTCGAAAGTCTAGGGACGAGTTACCCCAACGTGCTCAACTTGAAGGAAGCAGCTACTCGGTGTCCAGGACTCCCCAGGATCTCCGGGTGTGACAGAAGAAGCAACGACACTCACGCAAAGATATTTTATTTTGGCCTCAAGCAGCCACCAGTTTCCACAGTCAACAATACCGACACCAAAACCCCTAGAGGAATTCCAAGCCTCAGCCTCCCGAAAAACAAAGTATACATTGTGTCAGTGTTGAGGTAACGACTGGTGTGTTGAAAATGAACAGAGGAAGGATTCAACAACAAAAGACTGCGTATCCGAGCAACCGAGTTGAGGATAGGCCGTTCGTGACGGAGAGGTACGGGATCTCGGTCACAGGAGGATCACATGTGGTCGCCAAAGAGGCGAGTGTTGTCTGAGTTGGGCGAAATCATATGTCTTTGGTCATCAGAGCGATGAATTCTTCCAAGTTGACTGGGAATAAAAGAGAAGAGAAGCGGATCGTAGATTAGCTGCCACGCCAAGGAAGCAAGGGGGCTTGGATACTGCCAGGTTACCCAAGCCAAGACAGGGGAAGTCGAGACGCAGAGGTCGGGTTCGAACCACGGACATTCCGGTCAGTATTACCAATAATGGCGATTAAATATGCTAACGACGAAATGCATTTTTACATTTTTACAACAGTACCAAGAGCGTAGGCCATAAGAACACTCGCGAATACCAGTAAAACGACATGTTGCATACGCACCTCTCAAATAAAGGCCGCTCGTGTGATTCGATCAGTGCGATACCTCCTTGAGGGGTCCGCTGCGACAAATAAACGCCCCCTTGGATTGTCAAATTTATTTTTTGGTCACAAAGGGTTCTTTCTGTATATAGACCAGTTGCTTCTCTTCCGTCTGATCTGTTGCTCTCTCGCATACGTCTAGGCATTCTCACTTGCCTCCAATCGAGGCAAATCGAAAATAGCCCATGTCCTTTTAGAAACTTTACTTTCATACCCTTAGTCTGACATGATAAGTGTACAGCTAATCGGTACAGAGGGTTGCAGTCGATCTGACGGCTCCCATGAACCCGACTTCACCATAGTATCCACCCAACCAGAATCCATACTCTAAGTTGAGCGGGACCAGCCCGAGTCAGCCAGTGACTAAAAGGTGTAGCTGGTACAGTGTGCTGAGTTCATAGGCGAAACTTGACTGGCTTGAGACCTCGGAGGGGAGCTGACAAACTGCGTCGACCACTATAAGGCTTTACCGAATGAATTGTTCTTGCGTTTAATCGCTGTCATTTGGGCGTTGCTTGGGTGGCATACAATTTGCTCTGCGTGTTGCGCTGGTCTGAACATTTGCGTAAAATAAGCCAAACTGAATGCGGTTATCCAGATGCGGCCACCACATGGTCGGAAAGCCGGTAGTGGCGACGAAGTTACCTGGCCCCCCATTCCAGGTAGATTTTCATTGACCATACTACGGAGTAGACCGATTCTATTCAATGAGTGTGCGTCTTGTTTAGGTGAACGACAGAGATTCTGGAATTTCGTTTTGATGCAGGCGATGATCACCACACAGAGACTGCGTTCTTCATTCATAGGTCGCAACAGAATTATGGTGGTCATCCCCAAAAAGGGGTCACCTGCGGACCCAATCAGAGGTCTCCTTTGGGGGGGGGTATGTCCCTGTTAGGGGATCTCCCAAAGCCTTGTATTCAGGTCACAGCCATAGGTTCGAACCCAACCTCTACATCTCGACTCCTCCTGTCTACGCTTGGGCAACCTGGCAGTATCATTAAAAGTCAAATACTTAAATTTGTGCATTCTATGTCATTTTGTCATGCACGTTTGACCCCAATTGAAATGTGATTCTCACACAAGAAACGATAGGTTAGCGGCTTAAGAGTAGCTCATCAATGTACTGTGATGGTTTTTCGACTGCATACTGGGATCGTCATTTCACAACCGAGGCGCACGAAAATCTTATTCCTCGTGGTCTGATCATCTGGGGGCCTGGGCTATTTAGCTAGATTATTAATCACATGAGCGAGCTCGTGCTACTTTTAGATGTTAGTAGTACCAACTAGGAAGAAACCACGGCACGCTCAATCGTGTATCGCATGATTTGATCTATTAGGCACGAGTCACCGGGCCGCCAACTCGTGCAGGACTGTCGGTTTTCCAGCTAATTAGACATTGTCAGGAATGTGAATCAGAGGTACCCAGTAGAACAAAACTTGGTTGCCCTACATCTTCGCTAAACGTAGTCAGTAGTCAGTGGTAACGTCACATAGCAAAAAGTGGTATTTTTTATTAGTATTATGGCCACTAGTGCCAAAACTTTCTAATCCCTTTTGATATTTTGCTCACCGATCAAAAGATAACGTGTGCGAGAGCCAGAACAAAAAGATCACCTTAGGGAGATGGAAAGTCCCTGTTGTATAGGCACGAATTAAGGGACTAATGTGGTGATTGGGCAATTTTTGGTTTTCCATTGACCGTAGAAATCTCCATGGCACCGAACTGGACTATCCGACCCAAAACCGGATGCCTACTCAAATTTCCAGCCGTCTGAATGCGATAGATAGAGGTGAAAACGCTCCTGGGTGAGGAGAGCTCACACGCTAAGAATGGGGCACGAACTGCTTACAGTTCGGTTGGTGGTTCCAGCTACCAGTCTTGTTCACTGAGGGTTAATCGAGCGGGAAGATGTGGGGGGAACTGTACAAATTCACAGAAGAGGCGGAGGCGTTGAAATGTGAATTCAGCGATTGCTGAGGGAGGTGTTGTGTATGAAGGCGTAATTCATACACGAAACCATCACCGGCTACATGACTGGCCAATGCCTGTCAGTGCCACTAAAAGTCTGGTGGTGTAGGTGCTTCACACTGGGAACTTGTCGAGGTGCGGCCGAAATACCAACAGCACCTTTCTCACTGTTAACACTGGCTTTTTCAGACTCTAAGGCCTGCTGGAAGTAAGTCTTTTTGAAAACGTCTAGCCTAAGGTCTTTAGCTTTGAGCATACAGCGTACAAACAGCAAAGCTTCTATACGTATTTGCAACGGTAAGCCTCGGCGACTCATTTCGGACTAGATAGAAAACGATGAACGACTGGGCCTAAAGCATACGGAGCCTGGGGTGAGGTGGACTAATGGTTGGGTTCGTCTGAGCACGATTCTCACCAGACCATCTCTCACGCATTCAGTCAACTCAAATAAATGGGCTCCATTTCGTTGCAGCTCGGCGACCGAACTTCCATCTAATCTACAAAATGACTGTTGTCATCTTTTTGTAAAGGGAAAAAAATCGACCCGAATGAGTCACGACTTGATGACTTGTGCTTTGTCCGGTCTACAAAGAGTGGAATCGCGCGGACAACAAAAAAACGGACTGGGGCTCAGCACGGAGCAAAGGACGTGCACACACCGTGAGAACACACGGGCTGCCAAACATAATTTGCCTCTAACATCCCACCGGATGAGTGCGCCTCCGGGACAAAGACAACAAACGACCTGGTGAAGCTAGCGTCAAATGAGGGGTGGGGCGGGCAAAGCAGACAGTCGAATAGGTCCCGTATGACTGTAGCGGCAACAGCAGTATGAAGTTCACATGACAGGTGCATTGATAAGAAGCCGATAAGCAGCGGGACAACAAAACCAAGAAAGAAAGGTGGCTAAAGCTAGAAAACACACAGAATGCAGCCCTCCGAATTGTCTAATGCGCCTGGATGAAGTGGAGTTGGTGCCCTGATGCAAGGCAAACGTTTTTAACACGGCGGTGTTGACGACAGCTCGTAGTCAAGAGAAACTTGGTCTTCAAGCATGCTGGGCGTCTTTGTTAGCGCGAAACGTGCTTCTGCTTGATATTACGTATTTTCCCACCTCACAGTATGGTTGAGTAATACAGAGCAAGAAGGAATGATCAGGTTGTGGGGGTCACAGTATGGTTAAGTAATACAGAGAAAGAAGGAATGATCAGGTTGTGGGGGGGGGTAAGGTCCAGTCTCTTTGTGACGGACAGAGTGGGACTTAGGTGGATGAAACCGGACTCGAAATGTTTTGTCAGCAAATGTGAGACGATGAACAAGTAATCCAATTCAAGACATTCTCTTCCGGGCATGACCGCCTCCAAAGGGGGAAGGGCGGCGGTGATGGACCCCCTTTGGGGAAAGTTGCGCGCTATCGTTAGGATGACCTGTGGAACAGTAATCCTGTGCTGAGGAGTGTGTCAAGCTGCCTCCTCTGTTGTGTTGGTTGACTCGCATGTGCACAAGTTGTTACTTATAAGGAGAATCAATCCGAATCTCCACATTTGGTTGGCGACGGAGGTTAGTTCGTCCTGCGCAGTGACTCGCCTGGGGTGCAAAACACGGTTTCTGTCTGCCACATGAAGAAGGCATTTAGCCTAAACACATGTGATCCATAGAAAGCATATGCATTCGACGAATACACTGTCGCTGAAATTAATGGTTTACGTCAGCGCTACGGACACGAGCCAACGCAGCTGCGCCAGTACGCGTGCACCAAAAGGCCGAGCGGAACGGACAGTGTCTACAGACGGAGGTGTTTACACAGTCGCTGTGGGACAGTAAAAACGTCTAAACAGCGCGGGCTAGCACAGCACAGCATAGCATAGAGCAACAACAACAACAGCAGCCGCAACATAAACAATCACTAGGTTTGCATGACCAGAAGGACGGTTAGAATAGGTAGAATAAACAGCCTCACACAGACTTGTCACATGAGATACACGACTGTCAAACAGGTGGCCCGAAACAGACAGGAGATCTGGGGGCGCTGTTCACAACACAGGGTGAACAAAGTTCAGCCAACATGGTTAGGCACTGAATAGTTTCGAGTATCAAGGAAACCTGGTCACTTCCAGCTTCCATCAACAATAACTATGTAGAAGTGGGCGCAACTAACTCCCACAATCGACCACAGTGTGACATCTAAATTCCACTAGGAATGAACCTCGAAAGGGACCAACCAAATCTACAGCTCCTATTCAATTCACATCAAAACCTTTCAACTATACACAGTGATCCCCTCCCTAGTAAGCAACTTCCCAGTAGGCGATACTGGAGAAAATGATGCTGGCGAAATTTCGACAGTACGACCGGTACGAAGTACCATAGTCACATCGATCGGTCGAGGTTGGACGAGAGGATACCATCAACCATCTACCAATGTGAGTAAAGCTTTTAGAGATAAACAGAACAAAGCCGAAAGGTACAACCTGTGAGGAGTGATTAACACTGGAATTACAAACATATTCGCAGCAAAAAAAAAAACAACGGAATGTCTATTCGCTTGGTAGCTCCAGAAATAAGTGGAACTGCATTTGAAAGTTAGTGGGAAAAAACGAAAGCCTAAACGATGAGACTACTGGTTGAAGTCAGAAATGTGGTACTCATGATCCAAGGGAAAGGAATTATTAACTAGGCAAACGCGCTACGGCTGTTTGGCTGTCGGATATGGATTCAGTCAGGATTGCTCAGGTTTGACGAAGGTAAAACATGGGAGTTTGAAAAACCGGATGGGTGAGTTGGGTGTGACATTATCCGGTGACTGGGGTGAGTTGTTCGCTGTTCGATGAAGAGCCTGAGCACCACATGACTGGGTGTATAGGGTTAGTCTAACCCTCATTTCATTGACCAGAGGGTGCAGTGATCAGTTGGTGCGCGTGCGGATGGACTGATTGAGTTAGTCTAACCCTCATTTCATTGACCAGAAAGTGCAGTGATCAATTGGTGCGCGTGCGGATGAACTGATTGAGGTAGTAGACGAATTTGTCTACTTGGACAGCGGCATCAGTCCCGCCGGCCTCATGAAGGATTGGGAAGACCAGAGCAGCGTTGGTGAACCTTGTTTCACCTGTGGTGTGTGCGTGAGATCAGCTTATCCATAGAGGGCCTAGTTTATAATGCTCCGGCGCGCTCCATATTGCTATACGGGTCAGAAACCTGGCCAGTGCTCACCGACAACAGAGCATCGCGGGAGTCTGGTGGGAACACCGGATTAGTAACGCTGAACTACGTCGAATGGTTTTCGGAAGAATCAATTCGCCCAGGATAGATGAACTGAGCACACTAAATAGGTTGAACTGGCTTGATCCCATGTCCGTGTGCCAGTTGAACGGTTTTCTTGAACAGCCCTTTTCGCAAAACCATGTGAGGTGCGGGAACGAGCCAGGGGAGGTCAACCAATGACTTGTCAGCGGAGTATCAAAGCTATTACCAGCAAACTCAGCTGCGTTGGTCACTTCCCTCTCCTTGCATGGGGGCCTTGATACGAGATACATCAATGGTTAGACATATTACCAGATATGGTTCAGTCGCGCCCTCGCTGGCGCTCAGGCATCCAAGCTATTGCCTTCAATGAAGAACTCACCCACCCAACTGCGTACTGGTGATGTCTCCCTGTATGGTGACGAAACGTTTGCAAGCCAATTGCCACGCTCGGCGGACAGATCAACAGCCACCTGATCAACAATCAAGAACTCTCCTCCCAGTCTCCACTAGGAGGGAACGCTGTATAGGCGCGTCGACTAGATCAGCTACCGCCTCAAACGCGCAGCTACCTACCCCACCTCCCCAAGTCATCGGTGAACGAGACAATGACATCTATAACTGCTGTGCGGCAAGTACGCAGTTTTTACAGCTGATGATGACAGATACGTGTATGAGCTGAATCCTTGTCCAATGCTCGTAAGGCGTGCGTTCAGAGGGTTTTAGTCCTCCTATGACCGATGAGTGACATGTGTGTACCCAAATTCTGAACTCGTAATCTTGCTACAGCTGAGTAGGGGTGCATGCGCCCTCTCCCAGATGCCTGTCGTACAAACGTTCAAGGGGATGTATTTAGCTTTTAGACCAATTATCGACTGCGTCCGTGGGCTGAGTGCGACCTTGTGAGCTTGCTTCGATTGACATCGACTTGTTGGGTGCCTGCACTATGAGTGCTTATAGGTGTGTAATCTGGTGTGCGGCTTTGGCCTATTGGTTCGAGAAGCATTGTTCCACTGCTCAGCAAACGTAGTGCACTCGAGGGTCCAAGAAATCACTCATTTGCACACGGACGAGTTCGCGCGCGATTCAAATGGGATTCTTGTTTGTGACGTTATATGTAACGTAAAATCAACTTTAGGGTTCGGTTGGGTCAATATTCAAGATAACATAGTACTTCCTATCGATAGACAGTGCTGCACCATTGATCAGTGTTAGTTGGCATTTTAGAGGATATTTGAAACCCAAATTTTCTGGAATAGACACTTTGGGAGATTATTTAGTGAGAAATTACGAACAAGGGTCAGGGGTTCAGTTGTTTAAGGAACCGGGGGGGGGGGGA